AATAAAATTATTTTGTTATCTTAAAATTGTACAATTGATCCCAAAGTCACGCATATCGTACTCAATAGATTGTTCTTCAAGAATATGGGTTGTTTTAATCCCCAGTATTGCTTTTTTTTTGTCAAGCAGCCGCGAAAGTTGAGTCAAAATTTACTGTCGCGAACGGCGTTTTCGGGAGTGTTTGAAAAATTCCATTTTTCTCCATAATAAAGCGTTATTTGATCAAACCAACCATACAGCGATTCTTAGGATACATTACCCTAACTAACTTGAAAGTATGAGCGAAATCGATTTTTCGAAGTTTGCCACGTTTTGCTCGATGGTTACAGACAGTCACTCTTAACCATTTTTTCTTGGTCCAATGTCATGCAGACCGGAACCGATAAGGATGTGAAAATGTTGCACAAAACATTTGACTCACCTGTCACGCTGATTTATTCCTATTAACACATATTCCATTTTTTTCCTGTTGATAATAAAGGAAAACATAGCGTGAGTTCTGTTGGTTTGAAAACCAATTGTTTTGAGTTCTAACTCAATTTCATTATGAAAAACAATCTAGTCAGAATCACGAAAATCAAAGGGTCACATACGAAGAAAAATAAGAGCAAAAAACAACTTGGATCAATCAAGCAACCGGATATAAGCCATTCCGAGGTTGGGGGAAAAAGGCGGGTCAAGTTCCGTGGCATTGCAGTGCATTGTGGGACTGTTTTAGGGGACATATTTCTAAAAGATGGCGTCTATTTCTTCCCCACATTAAAATAGTCCCACAATAATAAACTGTAATGCCGTCTCGTCCTAGTTTTCAAAAATTTGAATATCGAACGGTTTTTCCTTGAAAAATGAATGTAAGTTTTTATAAACAAATAATTCATTCCAAAACAAGCCCGTATTTAACATGTTACAACATTGTTTGGTAAACAGTGTGAACTGAACCGCACTATTGTCGTCTGCCGGAGTTCATCCTTGACGACGGTCGTCAAAGAGGGTGAAACGGGTTATTTTTGAGATGCAACCAACCTCATGATTCAAATTCCCTCAGTTACAATAACAGCCGCTATGTTGGTTGATCAAACAAGAGTAGCTAATGTGGAATACTTTGTTATCATCGACCAACATGTCGGCTTTGAGGTAACATGTATATCAGTCCCCAAAAATACCTATGCTCTGTGTGATTTACTGTGACGGTGAATCATTGACTCAGTTTCGAAACAATAGACAAGCATGAACGCCGAGGGAGCGACCCCCAAGGAGTCAGTAAAGTTTTTTGATATAATAAAACGAGATAAAATACAACAGATCGGCCGGCTATTATTGAACCTTCATGCAGCAGGTCCTAAAAGGCGGTGATTGGACAACGAATTAACACAGGCGGTCATATGAACACGTACTGCCCTAGCTCTATTTCCACTCAGTTCAAACTGGCTCAATTTTTTACCACCTAACTACCAAACCATCGTATTATTCCACGCAATTCCTTTTTAAACCATAGCTCTAACTTTATTTAGGAATGTTGATAAATTTTCTGAATTTCAGAGCTGCCGGTTCTTGAACAGACACGTAAACTACCTTGACGTGAACTCACGTGCTGCCATTTCTGTGTTATAAATGTTGTCGTTGCATTTTGTATCGCTAAAGTTGACCGTCTGGCAATGTCACAAGTCAATCTCACTTCATTGCACTACCTAGCAGTCCCTTACTCTCATCCCGGACACCGTACACTTTTGAATTGCAATTTTTGTCTGACTCTCCCTTTTTCCTTGACGAAAAATCTTTTAGTCGTCATATGCCTTGGGGGAATAAATAATCAAAAAACTCGAGTGACTGATCGCTTATTAAGTCAATATCAATAGCTCCTTACCTTAATGATGGTGATCAGTAAATCTGTCAAGTGCCAAGGTCAGTTAACCGTTTTTAAGCTGGTACCAAGGATCCTTTCACAATAGATCTCACTCCCTCATGTTAAAATATGTAAATATTATAAGTTGAATAGGTGTTTTGAAAACACTAGCCGAATGTCAATGGCCTTGGTGGTGTCTGAATTTCTCTTACGATTCTATTCAAATATACCACGAAATTATTAAGATACAAATAATCTTTGGGTTCAGTCAAAGCTAGTCTTTTGAGTACTCAGCGCAAATAGATCCTGGTAGGATTCTAATCGGTATGAGCTATAGTCATTGTACTGATTAGTGTCAGTGCTAAACGACCATAAGTTAACGGTATGGTGTTCCTTTATTGAAATATGTTATAACAGGTATCACAAGGTTGGGACGTGCCACAGTCATTCTCGAATGTGCTGGGCCATGGCAACAAAGACAGCCACTTAGAAGGAGAAAAAAGTCGGAAATATGACGGAAAAGCTAGTTGATAGTTAGCTTTTGCATGCCCAAGAAAGAAAATAGAAAGAAAAGAAAGAAGAAAGGAAAAAATGGAAGAAAAAGAGTAAAAAGAAAAACAAAAGGAAGAAAGAATAAATGAAGTAGCGAAAAAATAGCCGGGAGTCACAAATAGTAACGGCACAAACAACCAACCAACAATTATAAGAATGAATAAATAAAACAGAGGGGGAAATAGAATTAAATCAAAGTAACGGAATGTGATTTGACGAGCTGCATGGAACTAAATCAGTGTAAACTGAAGAAAACAAGGTCGTAAAAAAAGGGGAAAAAGGTCATAACGCAAAGATCTTTTCATTGTAAGAATATTTCTATCTATCTTAAAGCTATATGACTACCGGTTTGGAGGTCTGTGCAAACATGCTTGCCTCGGGGTCCGGCGAAAATTCCAGACTTTGAGCAGACGTAAACTCTTAACATATTTATGTTTGGCAGTTCGCTAGCCAACGATTTTATGACTAGGGTGTACGCTCGAAATGCCGGTATTTTTTCTTAAAGGACAATAATCGTGTAACTTTTGAACTTACAGCTGTAATAGAAAAGGACAGGTATTCATGGAACGCATTGCGTTACTATAGTAACCAAAGTAGCGATTCATCTCATTTCTTTCGCCATTCTCCCGGTTTTGTTAAGCCCAATATATTAACAGAAACTCAAGGGCCACTTTTCAAAGAATCTTATGACGTGCAGTTGTTGAATAAAATAAGACTTAATAACACTGAAAGGATTCTGAAACAATTCACCGGATATTTTCTTTGACATTGCTGGAAGTTTAGTTTTTATTTTACAATCAATATGTGTTTTATAAAGAAAAGATATTTCAAACAAATTGTAGAAAATCTTAGATTTTAATTCTTTTAAAAGAATGAGACGAGAAGACTCTGCAGCTTTTTCGTATAACGTCAATTGTTGAAAAAAACAAAACTGATCCTAGTCATAAAGATAATAAACAAGAACGGTGTCATAAATCACTAGATATTATGACAAACTCCATCTCGTCATCTTTCCGTTTAAAGAAGCCGAATGCAAAGTCCTTTTAAGATCGTCCTTAAGACGTTTTTAATGTCCTGATAAGTTAGGGTATATTTCTTGAATGTGTCATGAATTTTCTATTATCATTTGGTATTTGTCGGTGCTTATTGGCTTTCTCTAGTATTTTGTACATTTTTATCGCTCTGGCGCGCATTATTTTGACTTGAATCTTGCAACTTTGAATTCCCCTCCCTAAGATACTATTATCTCTAACAGAAGATAACTCTGGGAAGAAGTACATTCGACCCAGATGTGACGTCTTTGGACAATCACACATACGATCATTCGGGCTTGTTTGAACATGAATGAAAGCTGATAGCGGTGAATGTCGTAAAAACGTTGAACGGAACAATGGGCCACTTCCACTATTGCAAGCTTATCTCTGCTAACTTCATTGCAATATCAAACAACTCGAAAAAGCTTTTAGAGTAAATTAATCAACACTAAATGACATTCTATGAGGAACGATGATTACGAAAATCAAATTTAGTTCAGTGAATTCTGAAGAAAAAAAAAACATTTATAAATCGTTCCCCTTAAGGAAAATTATGCTAACCTTCAGAGATTATTAATGATTATCTAAGGATGTAAAGATTTTTTTCTTTCTATATCCTGCACATAAATATGGAAAAGCATTGAAACGATAAATGGTTTATTTACTTTTCGAAAAGAATTATTTATGAATGCTATACATTGAAATGAGATTGCTCTGTTTCGCATCAGCGGAGTAACATCATGAATTTCGATATCGCACGCAATTTCGAAAGTTTAAAGTCAACCGGAGAAGGGAATTCAGAGACAAAAGTTTCTTATATTTCCAAGTTATTCATGTGGTATTTTTGCCACTTTTGTTGTTCAATTTATCTAAGCCAATAGTGAGTCGACAGTATTCTTTATATTTCACTTTTAACTCGGTTGAGTGGAAAGGGTATTTTTGTAATATTATAAAACTGTCAACACAATTTTTGATTGAGCTTTGGGTCGAGTAAAGTTCATGAATGACTGAGGCCCCACTACCAACAGTTGAAGAACTGTCAACTACTTAATAAACAGGGAGAATTTAGCTTTTCATCAGTAAGGTAAACCACGTCTTAATTTATTACGCTGTCATTGAAGGAAATGCATGATTCAGAAATGAAAATTATTAGGGACGGGAATAAAGCCTGTTGATAAAAAATAAATAAAATTCTGCTTTTTATACATTAACGACAGAAAAGTTAGATGAAATAATTTTGGTGTTTCAGTCTGGAGATGGTTCAGAATAGCAAACAACAAATCGTAAAATTTGGCTATTTGGGTCGACCACAAACTTGTGGATGGGATGGAAAAATGAAGACCCCGGACTACAAATATCAGTGAAACAAAAGATTCTTGATATGATATGCTTAAAAAATTGTATCCCCAAAACCACATCGATTCTACAATAAGAAGATTTCCATCGAATACCGAACTTTTCACCCAAATATCCAAAATACTACAAAACTCTTCATATTGTTTTCTGATAATTCAGATGATTGAGAAATGAGACTTTAGCCGCTCATTAAAAAAGGAAAAGCAAATATATTTATAAACCAAGTAGATTTAGCACAGAAATCTATAGGGGTCTCTGCACCAATCAGGCGCAACTCAACACCAGCTGGCGCAATATTTTCGCGGGAAAATCGTCGAACCGTAAAATAACCCGTATACATCACACGTGTGTCTTTATTCGTCGGAAAAAATTAAAAGGGATTCATTTACCTCTTCATCTATCCTTTTCTTCCTGATTTGTAAATTTCGTTTTATTTTAAAACAGGAGACTTTTAAATTGAAATATTCTGACAAATTATCTCTGTAGCGGAACAGAATAATTTTTGTGTTTCTTTTCCCGACCTTTTACAATGTAAATGATCGGTAATTTGAATGGATTTCAAATGCTACAATGTTTTAATTATAGAAACAGCGTTAAAGAATAGCTTGAAAAAAGATTCACCTAAATACAGCAAAATAAATGTGACAAATGAAATTGGGTTTTTCGAGTAGATTAATAAAGAGGATTGGCTTTTTAAATTGACAGATGACAGCCTATTAACCCTCCTACGAGTAGATTTTTGATGGCAATTCAGATCTAGCATAACACCACGTGTGTGTATGCATAATACTCCGATATACCTGGAATATAGTCAATATTAAACTTTTCGCAAACCTTCAATATAAACCTAGCTTTTTAGGTCTAAACAAATACCCTTGATCCGATGTGCTACTTCCGAATTGCTTTTTTCACAATTAGCAAAATGCTAATTATAAAAAAGAAAAATGAAAGAAAAGACAAAACAGATAAACATCCAAAATAGAAAGTTCTCCTTGACATGGTAATATTGTTTTTCCTGATCGGATAGTATTTTCTCCCAAGGCTGTACTTGTCAGAGAACAGGATATCATCCAATCACAGAGCGCGTATTTTCTATCAGTGTAATTAGAATGCTTACTCCAGCACAACTGGTGTTGTTGGTTGGAGGAGCAGAGAGAGAGAGGAGGAAGGTACCTTCCGCTCTCAATATTTGGACTTCTAGATCCCTTACTACGAGTCTTTTTCGACTCAAACCTTCCTCAAACAATGACCATTGCTTATGTTTTGTTCATTTAGGTTTAACAGCGCAAGAAATGGCTTCCCAGCCATCAAGGCCAAGGAGAAACGTATCTCCAGCATCAAGTTCTAAACCCCAACCATTACGTGCGGTTCACCATTTTTCTCTGTTGAGGAACCCAAGTCCGACCAGAGGAAATGTCATAAGAAGAAGTCCCTCATCTTCTCCGGTTCATAATACGGAGAATGCATTTAAACCCAGAAGAAATTCGCCAGAAACACGTGGGTCTCCAGAGCATCGTCGGAGCCCAACATCTCCTCTTCATTCCAGTTTGAAAGGTAATATCAAAGCTTTGGTTATTTATCCTAATACTATTCAACTTATGTTTGCTTTCCATCGACTTAAAACCCATCCCGAAAGGCTTTTGGAAATCACTAGGGTTGGTATTCTGTGGTATTTAGTTATGAAAAGGACAGGGAAAATTTCTAACTTGGAAATCGTTTCATTTTCTCTGCGCGTACGAGTTTGGCTAGCTCGCTGTGTGAACTACTCCTCTACTTTTATGAATGCTGTTGTTGAAGGAGATGACACTAGATTACAAAACCACATTTAACGGTGAATTTTCTTTCTTGACAGTCGAAAAGCCTAAGCCGTTGGTAAAAAGAACTTCGTCGCTCGATGCCATCTCGGGTACTTATTTGAGTGGTCAGTGGCCGAGAGATGGTGGGATTTTATGTTGTCACAAAGCTACCCAGGTCAGTTAAGCACCGAATTATAAATTAAACATATTGCGCTTTACTATGAGACTATGATGCCTAATACGCCATAAAACAGTCCTTTTTGGGATAAAAAGTTATAGGAAAGACAATTTCCTGGATTATTTGTGTTTTGTGATAACAAGAAACTTCGTGTTGTGGTGGACATCTTGAAATTGAAGTCATACCAGTACCTGTGACTTGCAAGTTAACCTTTTCATCTAGGCAAAAAAAACACAGAAAGATAGAAATATTCTTGCACTTTTTTCAACCTCGCTTACTGTTTTCTGGATTTGTTCAGTCATGAGTATAATATTTGTCGATGTTGTAATCTTTTGTGTGCGTTTCGTATTTTGGCAAGTTAATAGTCAGGTTTTTATGTCCGTCAAAACACATTTTTAGTGAAAAATTTGGTCAACAAAACTTCATTACTAGAAGTTTGACTACGTGATCTCTAGGATACGCTAGCACGATAAAGATAGGATCGTGTTTATTGTTCAAAAACGAGCTAATCCTTTGGTATATACTAGTGTACTGAAAGGAAATGTGTTTATAATTTCGTGTAGTTTCGAGGTCGAAATTGACATGAAGGAGTACAGTTTAATCACACTCATAGATCGAGCATTACCTTTGCGTACATTAAAAGAGTATTTTTAGGTCGTATCCACACGTTAAGTATTGTAGCTAGGACTCCCTCCCAATATATAATGCGTGCACGCTTCTTTTGGATTTTTGTTTTAATCATGAATCTGCATGAGAATAATGCTCTCGCGTAATTGGTACTCCTCATGGTTTTCCACGTTTTGCACATTTTAACTTACCAGCCAGTTAACAATTTACGCCTTGAAGGAAATACGAGGTGATTTGATTTGTAGATATTTCCCCCAAGCTCTATCAATCTTTGGGTTATCGAACCATATTTGATTCTGGTTTACAACCTGGTCAAATTACGCAAAATCGTTGGGTTTGTTTACGCTTGGCGCCTATTACTATATCAGTTATACATCGTGGTTCAAAAACAATAGCAATATCGGCTATGGATTTTGGGTTATGACAGTCCTTGTTAGCAGTCTTGTTATTTTGTACATGTGCTCTTATCTTTCGCATCCATTAGACATTTCCGATTTAGCGGCATATGAGCGGAATAGGCATATACTAGCGGAATAAGCATAAACCAGCGGAATAAGGCTAGAATCATCGTTATGACCAGAAAATTCAATAAAATAATGAAACAGCTTTCAGTAGACCTGTTTTAT